CGAGACTTTTCAGCAGACCGAGGCCGCCCCAACTCCCAGGGGTGGGAGGAAAACCAACAAAACATGACATTTGGGGCTTTCCCAAAATTAGAGGTACCTTTTTGGGGGTCCCCATAATAAGGATTAGTATTTTGGGGTCCATACTGGGGTCCCCCTTTAAACTACCATTTATACTTTAAGGTTAACGTTCATCTCTTTTTTTCAATGTCTTCATGAAAGTGGCTCAATTTTCCAGATGCGTCCAGAGGCCGCCCTTACCTGCGGGCCTGGAAACGTGTGCGTACGTGTGCACTTCCCAGCATTCTAGGTGAATTTCGTGTCCTACTGCCCATTGACATTTTATGTGCTCATTCATACAAATAAGCTATGTACAAATTTTGTCGCATCTGCTTAAATTTGTTTCCCTGCAGCTTTCATGTTCATTTCATGTCACGTGTTTTTCATGAGTTGTTTTCTGGACTCTGGCCTTAGGCATGCCCACGGCCATTACTGAACTGGCATGAATTATGCGCCCCAAGTGGTCTAGCGAGCGCTCACCTTGGCAAACTCTACTACTCTACGCGTTTTCCTTGATCTGTTCTCATCCAGAAATCCGCATTGAATATTTACAGTTCTCCAGGCTGTGACAATGCTCTGAGTTTGCAACTGGAAGGCGTCTTGCGTGTTTGCATGGTATATTTCGTGCCTTGGTTGAGCTCATGGACGTGTTGTGATCCCAACCACATGAACTTCGAAGAGTGCTACTTATCCTACATCACCCTACTTGTTGCCTGAAGGTGCAACACTCCGTGCGCATATCGCCAGGCCAACGCTTTCGAGTGTCCCGTTTGTGAGCATGCTTTAGTATTTTGACACAAACAAAGGGACACATGTTTTGGAGATATGCATGGGGCGCGGAGGCCGATGTTGGCATGACGAAGAGAGACTTAGAAAACAAAGCTCAAGGTTGCCGAGTCTAGTGCCACGCCTCCTTCTGCCACTCATTCGGTTGCAGTGCTATGGCATTTTTCGCTATTGTGATTGTTGTCACGGAAGGTTCGCGACATGCGTGCCCCAGATTGGAAGGTGCCTAGCAACACAGTGCAGGGTGTCCCAAATTCTTGAACGTGTCCCAACTTCTTTATGAAGCTGAGTAGTGGCAAGGGACCTTTGACTTTGATGGCAGATACCCCAAACATCACATCCTGCGCGTGAATCAGAAGGCTTCAAGAAGCAAGCGTGGACAACTGCAGCGGTGCTGCTGTTCCTGGACAGTGCCGGCGAAGGCTTCGGAGGCCGGGCGTAGTAGTGGTTGCAGTATCGTATGGAGCCTGAATCCTTTTTTTGACACTTGTTACCTCACTTATTTAGTAGCTTTTCTACGGGTCGCATTTGGAACACCCGCACCGGTGCGCGATGGCTCCATCGCTGTAGATAGGCTTCAAACAAGTTTCGACGGAGGGTATGCCACAGCTTGAATCGTCCACCCGTGGAAGTCTCAAGCCGCCCAGCATCCTCAATGATGCTTTTGCTCAGGAATGCTCACTGTGCAGTCCGCGCTGATTTTACGTGGGAGTTCTAAATAGTCTCCATCCATGCAAAAGATGGGACCCCCAGCTGTTTCCTGAGAAGCTTCTCTGTCAAAAGTACCCTGCAGAACTTAGAAATCAATCTTGTGGCTATTCGTGCTCGGAACGCATTTTCAGTGTCCCCGGTTATGCAACTCATCCCTGCTTGCAATAGCGTATTGACAACCCCAAAGACCTCGGCCCCGCACCCCAAACAACGTAAACTGCAGGGCTTATTCTTCCAGCGGCTTGGCTGATGTCAGGCAACCCGGTATGGGAACCCATGAGAATTGTAGATGTGAGCGATGACACCTTTGACTTTGATGAAGCACTGATCCTCCTCCTCCTCCTTCTCCTCCACGCCCTTCCGTGCAACAGTGTCTACATGTACTTCCCATTGGTGCTGCTGTTGCAGCTACAACTTCTAGTGAACTACGCTGAGCTGCGCGCTTCGTATACCAAAGTGCATCTGTCACGGTCCGTCACCTCTTGCTTCTCTGGCCGCTCCCCGCCTCCTGCAGCCTTCGCTGCTGCAGCGTACCTCTACAATCACGACCAGCAGTATTGATCAAATCGTCGGGGGTCATGCTTTTCAGCCTAATGGTTTTGAGTATTGGAAAACATTGACTTGCACCAGCTGCTTTGCGATGTGATTTGGTCAAAATGGGCGTAATGGTGTTGTGTTTCCTTCTTCTAGCATGTGGGTAGTTCCCAAAATCAGGGTCCCCTTTTTTGGTACCCCTAAATATTAGGTGTCGTAATATAACCTATTACCAAACCGGGCCCATAATCTTGAAGACAGCCCATGTGTGCCTGGCTCATTCCTTGGTGCCCCGAAGTAGTGGGTTGCTGTTTAGGAACTTGTTTTAAGTTACTATATGGGGAAACCTTATTTATATGCCCATTATGGTAACCCTAAACCCTAGACCCTAAACCCGAAATACCCAGGGCCGTTGCAAAAAAACCCGAATTACCCTAGGTGGTAACTGAATTTAAGTTCCTTAACAGCAATCCCGCAATTAGGACCTGGCAGTGATTGGTTATGCTGGCTACGATGCGTGCGCAGGAGCAGGCGGCCACTGAGTACAGTCGCAATGCCTTGCGAAGGGAAGATCCTGAGTTGGTAGTTTCCCTGCACAGGGGGAGCCCAATATAGATCCCCGAATAGTATAATCCGTAGTATAGGAACCCCCAGAATGGTACCCCTAATTTCGGGAAACCCCCAGTTCTTCGTGTTACCAAGCTTCTACAGGCATTTTCCACAGAAGTTGACCGCTTCGTGCACCATGGCAGGCAAAGGTTCAAAAGCCTGCGATGAAGCCACCGCTGCCGTTACCGCCACGGGAGTGACGCCGTAGGCTCAGCTGAAGCAGCAGAACACGACATGCAAGCAGTGCCTTGTTACAGGAAAGGAATGCTTTGATCTGCTGCCAGCACTCCTCTTTCCTTTTGGCGCATCCTGCCAAGGGTTCAGATGATTGCTTCCATCCTGATGCTCGACAGTTCGAAGGGCTCTCACTTCAGAGGGTAGACCTTGGAGGTTCAGGGGATTTAGTAAGTATTTGGACTGGTCTGAGCCATGAAATGACCCATTTTGCCCCATTACTACCTACTTTACTAAGTCCCGCGGACCCTCCAAGTGCCTGCAGTAGGCAGACTCGGTGACTAGGATTTTCAGCAGAAGTCATGGAATGTCAGCCTGTCACTTCGATAAGGAGGGAGTTTTTTCAAAAAGGGGGTTCCCTATCATGGGGGGGTTAGGGATAAAATGGGTGTTCCCAAAATTATGGGTCCCTTTTGACTATAGACTATATTGCTATATTGTGGCACCTAATATTTAGGGCGCCGAAATCGGACCAATGTTGGGAACTACCCATATAGGGATAACTTTGAGAAACTCTTAAGCAGCCAGTTCCATACTTACCCTCATCCCTAAACCCTAAACTCTGAACCCCTCAATCCATAACCCCTAAACCCTGAACTCCTAAACCCTAAACCCTTGAGACTGGGGGGGGGGCCTACAAAAATGAAACAACGGAAGACCAAACCCCTAACTCTTTTTGCATCTCAAGTGGTCGGACTTGGAAGAGAAGTCATGGCTGATAGAGGGCACGCTACCACCTAAGCCACGCCGATGGAGCTCCATGCTTCTGACCGCGAAGCCTGCATGCTTCGAGCCGAGTGGGAGGGTAAAAACCTGTAATTTCTCTAGTCTCAGGATGAATTTTATAGTTAATCTCCTTATTCCTGAGCATGAGTATTCGCATGTGTATGAGTCCAATCAAAGACCCTGAGCCCTAAACCCTAAACCATCCTAAGTCCTAAGCCTTGAACCCTAAGCCATAAGCACTAAGCCTTAGACCCTAAGCCGTAAGCCCTAAACCCTTTGCCGCTAGCCCTAAACCCTAAACCCTAAACCCAGGAACCTCCTCTGCAATCCCATCGTGGGACGATGTGCCGACCGGTTTGGTCGCCGCCCCTCGATCATCGTAGCCGCACCCTGGCCTGAAGCTCTGGCTGTGGGACTCCGATGAACCTGATGTTGCTGGTTATTTTAGGGACTCCCACTTTTGAGTTTAGGGATTCGGGTTTATGATTTAGGGTTTAGGAATTAGGGACAGGGTTCAGAGTTTGGGAGCTGAGGGCTTGAGGTTTGGTGAGGGTTTGTGGATTCAGCTTTGGAATTCAGATTCAGGTTCAGGTTTAGGCTCTTGAGTTCCAGGTATCGGCAAGAGCCTTTGATGCATGGTGCGATCCCATCATAGCTTCCAATGTGTAGCTGACAGCAAAGCCTCCAAACTTCATAAAGGGGAACACATGAGCCATTGTCTAAACTCCTAGTATCCCCCTTAGTAGGCCCTATAGTAGTCCCTTATATAATCCCTTATGTAACCCCCTTTAAGGAGTTTAGATTATAGCTCAAATGGCAGGTAGAACGGACTTTGAAGGGCCGTGGGTTCGTGGGAGGGAGGGCGCCTCGACAAGAAGCCCCCAATCCTGGCTTTATGGCCCTACAACTTCAGGGTTTTAGGGGTTTAGGGTTGAGAGTTCAGGGTTTAGGGTTCGCAGCCTTGAGTCTTCCTTTCCCGCCCGTGGGCTGCGGCTCAGTTTGCAGGCTGCCAGCACTCCCTAAGTCAGGATTCCATTTTGCACCATGAATCTAGTCCAAGCCATATAAGAACAAACATGAACAAACACTTTAACGTAGAATGAAGCCAGGCGCATCTGATCAAATACCTTGTTTTCCATGCGTGCCGGAATGAGGTCCTTCATGTTCTCTGGAATCAGTTTGAGTACTGAGCATTGAGTTTCTCAATATGAGGCTTGCTCGTTATTGCCCCAGGGGCATTATGGCAGATAGCCTACCGAACCCACAGTTTAGAGAAGCTTCACTTCACGCATTTGAGGGTTTTGGGAGCTGCCCGGGCTGACTGATCGGGAAAGTGCGTCGCCATGGCACAACCCTCGATCTGGCAGATTGTTGGCCAGGCTGGCAATCCCTCAAGCTTTGAGGGTACAGAGCCTTTTCCTGTTTTGTGTGTGGTGGTGGTGGGTGTCTTTTGAGGCTTTCGTGCGTTGGAGTTTCTGGTTCAGGGATTAGGCGTACAGTTTTGAGTCGGGTCCTGGGAAGAACCTCAGAGAGCCAGCCCAGCTGTAAAGAACGGCCTGTGTGGAGAAGGGATTTCTAATGCTTGAACGCGCTATCCCCAGATATTTTTCTATGTATATATGAGTAGAAGTTGAGTTTAATTGCAGCCCCCCATGGGGTCTCTACTTGCATCAGGTTCGCAGGGAATGACGTAGTGCGGGGTTCATGGGTTTTAGTACGTCAGGGTACACAGGGCTAGTTTCTGTTGTGTTCGATACAAAAGCTCCAGCATACCACAAAATCCTCGGGATCGGGGCTACCTGGGTCAGGCATGATCCTTAATCAGCATCAGTTTTAGCATCCCTTAGCGCCCTTCGAGGCGGAAGCCATCATGGGGTCTTGGGGCAGTTGCGATCAAGCTAACGCCAGTGGTTCCTGCTGCGTGGGGTAGTTATTCAGTTGTCGCGATTACAAGGTTTTGCCGAAGTTCTGGATGTCAAAGGGATCACTGATACAGGTTGACTGTTTAACAGTGTGGGCTCTGCAGACCATGGAGTTGTTGATCTCCTCTCTGTTTGAGTCTGGGCCTATCTATACATGCCTTCGGAATCTAACATCCTTTGTGCTAGACAGCTGGGGGGCCTCATTCCGGCTAATTTCCCTCTTACACAACCCTGATCCTTACCTGGACCTATGCCAAGCCTGGGAAGCTTGAGGTCAGCCTAGGCCTATGGCCTTTTGCACTGCAGAGAGCAAAATAGGCGCGCAAAAAAAAAAGCTTGAGGTCATGAAATCGAGAATGATAGACCTTAGGTGGGGGCCGGCCCACTAATAGTGACCGCAATGGATAATTGGGGGTCCTTACATATTCCTAATATACCACTAATAGTGGGTGGGGGCCTAACCCAAAATAGAACCCCAAGCTGAGTCCCAATGCATCAGGGCCAGCACCTTGCTGCCTGTGCCGTTCCCCACGGACAAATGTCCTACCCTCGACCCCAAACCTTAAACCCGAAGCCCAAAACAGCCCTCAACCCAAAACCCCTATATCCTAAACCCCAAACCCGAAATAGTAGTTTCCAGCTTCTTTTCCATTATCCCCGCATAACCCTCATATCCCTACCGAAGGCCGTGGAGAGCGCCTCCGTGTCCATGGCCGACCCACTTGTTCAGCAATTTGCTGATCCTTAGAACTGCTTTGGGTTTAGGGGTTTAGGGTTTAGGGTTTATCTCTTGGATTTTTGGGCTTTATCCCTTGGGTGTAGGGCTTGGGCACTTAGGAAGGGTTGGGTTTTAGCAGGCTTTAGGGTCGTGAAGTGGGTTGCAATAGTCAAGAAGCGTATAGCTTGAGCTCAGCAGGCGCTGATATGCTTCCAGAAGCTACTGGTATTGAATGCCTTAACTTAACAGAATATATTTTATCTTATATACCCACACATACACATTCATATGTATAATGATTTGCATTAATTGTCTCCTTTATCCCCTCCCTCATTCCGCTTTGGTGCACTGGGCCTCGGAACGCCTGACCTGCTCCTTTTCTCAGTACGTGAGCCTGCAAAGTGACCAAATGATTTCTTTCCCATACTTTTCTTAGCTCTGAGTCTACTCGTCCCGCCCTCAACCCAATTCTACTCATGGAGGCCTGTGTATGCTTTTCTGCTGCTCCTGGGCCTCCCGCATTCGATCCTAACCCTACCTGAGATTTGAATTCTGAGTTCAGGTTTAGTACATTTAGGGTTTTGGGTCAGGGCCAAATAATTGAAGCCTCAGTTGGACCTCAACTGCTACATTCTGAGCTTCTCAAACTCCAGGCAACAGGCTGCTGAGGGTGCCGTGCTCCGCGCCCATGCTGCTTTCGTAGCCTACCCGCTGGACGTTTTGAAGACGCAGGCTTGGCGCGGGACAATTTACCTCAATTTGAGTCTCCCAATCTACCTCCAAAGTAGTCTGTAGTGTAAAGATGCCACGAGAAGATGCCCAGCTACCCCTTTGTCAGGACCAACGGGAAAAGGGGGTTCATGGATTCCTTGAGCGAACTCACTAGTGCATTTTTGGAAACATCGCTGCAGGGCAGTGGTAGGCAAGGTAATATCCTGTAGCCTCTTGTTATCAATGAAATATCGCTACCACAGACAACACTAGGGTGTTGTAATATGCTTGCTAATGTGGTATCAAAGCCTGTGGCAGGTTCAGTCGGGGCATCCGAAGTACAGCCGTCTCTCCAGCTTACCCAGCTTGATGAAGGACACCATGATGTTTGCAATGGGAGCGTGGCCAGATTGGTATAAGCTAGTATTCCATGGTTTTCTCTCATGGGGAAGGGCTGGCATTCATTCTGTGGTAGAACATTCGCACATTGCACTGGTGTAACCTGTTTGCTTGCTATCTTGCTAATTCTTTGCCCGAATGATCCCGAATGATAAGCCCCCTGACTAAGACATAGTCCTCTTCCTATATGATGGTGCTATATTGGAAAATGAACGATTCGGCAAGCTGGGGGTTCATTAGAAGGAGGAGTGGCTTAGACGCGTCTGGAGGTTGCTGAATGTGCACATAGGGCATTTGGAGACATTTGTGGTGTGCTTCCACGCAGCGCTTGCGTGCAACGAATCTAACCTTCCTCAGAAAGCCACTGCAAGGATTGTGGTCTTGATGGGTGGTCTTTGCTTAGCTTGGAGGATGCTACAGACTTTTGAGACTCCCTTTTGGCTCTTCTTCTAGGTTAGGGGACGAAACCTCAGCATGTCGCTCACATGAGGCCATGACAGCAACTTCAAAGCATATCAGCATGCAGGATTACAAGCTTCGCATCTTCAGGGGCTACCCCGGGGTGGGCGCAAACTCCTTCATCATGGGTGCTCTGATGTTTGGTGGCTATCGGTTCTTCGACAACTTTTGGAAGCTGAACCTCACCTCTCAATTGTCCATTTTTGGATTTGTATATCTTGTCGTACTTCAGGCTGGTTTTCCGCGGTGTATCATTTCAATTCTTTAAGTGTTGGAGTCCTCCTACATCAAGGGTCCCGAGATTTTGGGCAATATGGTGGCACTGGCTTTAAGATGATAAGGGGTTTCCCAAAATTAGGGGTACCATTTTAGGGGTTCCCATATTAAGGATTATCGTATTTTGGTGTCTATATTGGGGTCCCCCTATTTTGGGAAACTACCATATCCGAGCGAGGAACAATGTGCCGGATTACTGGCGGCCCGCACTCGCAGGGGCAAGTATTGGAGCCCTTTGCGGCTTCGTGGCTACTCCACTGGAGCAGGTTAAGACAATTATGGCGCTGCAGGAATCCTGGTTGAAGGAGAAGAAGGTGAAAGCCAGGATCTACACCTCAGTTCCTTGGCTGCTTTTAGGAAATGTGGGTGGTTTCCAGAAACCATGGGCTCCTCATTGAAAGTCCTCATTATAGGGATTTGCAACTTAAGAGCCTCCGGCTCAGTCCGCCGACCCAGAGGCGGACAAATCGCGAATGCCTAAACCCTAAACCTTGAGGATTTTCAGCGGCTGGCACGAGACCAACAAGCGCAACAAGGTT